CCTGCAAGAACTCAACGCCGGAAATGTTTCCGGCATAGAACCTCCGACACTCAAGTTAGTAAGAGAGATGAAGAGAGTTCTGCTCAGTGGGAGCAGCAATAGTAAGAAATGAATAGAGAGTGAAAGTTAAGATTTCAGGTTACCTCAAACTCCTTTATATAGAACGAAATACCTATTTGAGATACCCAAAACGCCCCGACCGACTTACATGGAGTGTCCAAAATACCCTGATCGGTTCGCATTTCATTCATCTCCTAGTCAGCGCCAGATTCCTTCTTATCTCAAAAAGATTCGCCTTTGTTTGGAGGACCTGTTAAGATGTGCTGAAGTGTCTTGAATCATCGGATGCCTCGAGAGTCGAGGCATAGAGGGTCGACCGCGAGTGGTAAGAGGTCGACTTAAAGGTTTATTCACAGTAATACATCAGGAGGCTCTCACCACTTCTAATGGTTCTCGTCTTCTCGATACAAGTCGACTTCAGAAGTCGACCTATAAAAATCATCGACAAGTCGTCGGCTTGCCAAAAGGAGTTCCCTCCTTAGGTAATAACTAATACGTGAAAGAAGTCGACTTTAGGATGTCGACGTGTAGATTCGTCATCCGGTCGAGCAGTTAGTACTTGAACTGGTATACCATAATATAGCTATATCAGTGACTTTTGACTTTTTTTCTCGTCGAGCTCCTAACTCACCCTTTTTCGTCGAAAAGGTGATCGATCTATGTGTATTTAATGAGGAGTTTGAACTCATATTTTACTCGTATATTTTTCTTAAAATTGGTGTTCTTCATATTTTGTTAAGTAATCAATTTTGAATATTGTTCTTCATATTCACCTAAAACAAAGAAGGTAGCAATAATCTCTTTGTTATTTCTATCAACTATTTATGTTAGATTATTTTTTTCTCGTACATGATCATTATACTAGTTATTCATGCATATGGTACATCTGTTGGAGTATTATAGTACCTTTGTTTTTATTATTTAATACTAGTTTGTGTTGGAGACAAAGGGCTAGTTATCGTTTTCGCCGTCGGCGTCGAAGTTGGCCTGATATTCAAATTTGTAATGATTACCGCATAAAACATGTCATCCTCGTGGCATCTGTAGTGACAAACGGTGCAAACTTTACTTGATTTCAACACTGATATTTCATATCCAGATCGTTCTTTTTCCAGAACTTTACTCAATTTTTGTAATGCTTTTTCAATTATTAAATTGATTAATAATAGTAGTTATATATATATATATATGTTTATAAGGGTAGTTTAAAGGAAAATTAACAAAGTTGTGGGGAATGCAGGGGAAAAATAAAAAGATAGGGACTGATAAAGAATATTGAAAGGTGATTGCGGATTTAAGTGGTAATAATCGATTTGTCAACTCAAACTATAAACCTCTTTTTTACAGGTAAAATTTCATTTTTGGTCCATTATATTGGCCATTTTTCAGAAATGGTCCACTAATTTGGCGGACATCAAACTTGATACAATAAGTTGTAAAATTCATCGTTTTTGGTCCATTAATCACTCGGGCTGGATAACGAGCCTACGTGGCGGACATCAAACTTGTCCACGTATTCGCCCGATAAAACGCCACGTAGGCTTATGGACTAAAATGACAAATTTTACAACTTATTGTATCAAGTTTGATATCTGCCAAATTAGTGGACCATTTCTGGAAAATGGCCAATATAATGGACAAAAAATAAAATTTTGCCCTTTTTTACACTTCTCAATGTGCTACATCATCCAAAATTTCATCTTACTTACACACCCATAAACCTATAATAACAATAAACCCCCAAATTCTATGTTTTAATGGGTCCTATGTTTGTTCTATTTTTGTTGTTGTTTTTTGTTATTGGTTTGCTTGCATTTTTTTTCCCGTTTTAAGTCTTTTCTTAAGTTTTTCGGACCATCTAGTATTTTGTCGTCTGTTTGTTTCTATTTTTGTTTTTTCGTTAATTTTCTTTTCTTTCATATGTTTTTGTGTGTTTTTTGTCTTTGGCGGTGTGTAGGCTCGGAACTTCAACTAGGTATTTAGAAATTCAACCACTCTTAGGAGAAAATGGTTGTCTCAGTTGTGCAAGTACAATTATCTAAAAGGGTTTGTTAGCGACGAGTAAGAAAAAATAGAATTGAACTCTGGTCTGAATGAGAACGTACGAGTCCATAGTGCACAGACGCAACTGTCACCCAACCTCACCAGGCGTCGTTGTGCATACCTGCACACGCGCGCTCACGACATCTTTAGATTCGCGACATGTGGAGTCACTGTGACCCACGGGATTTTCATAGCCTAACAGCGTCTCAGGCCTCCCCAGACCCTACGCCCCGCGGTCCGCTCGCTATCCGCGACAAGAAGGTGTCAACGGCTCGCGATGCTCCCCGCGCTCTGCGGACATAGCGTCCAAAGCTTGCCCAAACCCGCGACCGGCGGGTCGTCGCAACCAGTTTTTAAAAAATTATAATTTTGAATCGATTTTTGGAAGGCTATTGATTGGGACTCGTGCCTAGGGTTAGAAATTCATTCCATCCTTGATATTTTTTAGTGTTCTCTCTTTTAAAACAACTCTTGGCTTGAATTTGGATGTTGGAGAGTGAGACTCCAATAATCGTACTTTGGATTTGGCTTGTACTTTGGATTCAACTTCGTATTAATAGCAAAAACTCCTCTCATTTTTCTATGGATGTGATGTGTTTGATTGATATGATAATTGTTGTTGAATTCGCTATGAGTAGCAAAATTCTCTCGCTAGAGATACGGGATGATTGTACATATTAGTGTGTGTATCATGCTATTGATTTCCGTTCAATCTATGCGAGTTGTGTTATACCTAGGGATAGATGTTTGATCACGCTTTAATCCATTTAAACAACTTTCAAAACGAAAAGCGGATGAGTTGATCGACCTAGGCTCGTATAGAGTAGACTTGTTCGTAATTGTATTGTCTATGTGTTGTTTGATTTGATTGATTTGTTGTCCATATTTATCCTCTTGTTACGAAATGTTATTGAGGTTAAATCTCTATACATGTAGGTTGATAGAATCATCTAACCGAGCGATCTGATATTAAAATATAATTCAATGTTATCTATGAATTATGCATCTCTTTTTTGTTTTATTCATTAGTTTAGCAATTGTAGCACAATAGAGATACTATAAAAAAAATTAAAAAAAAAAATGATGCTAATTAATCAAGAAATCAAGACCATTCATTTCTCAATAATCGAGTTACTCATTTCTTATTTTGCATAAAGAAGATCTGATCACAAAACAACATCAACAACCACAATAATAATAATTCATGTTAATTATTTAGCATTCAGTCGGATATTATAATCATACTAATTATTACTGTTTTCGTTAGAAAGAAATTTGTTTGGACTTAAAAGATCATATTAACTATTACAACCTCCATTAGAATATTATAATCAAAATTATAAATGTTTTGGTTAAAAAGAGTTTTGTTTTTAGTTATTTTATTTTTATTGGGACACTTAATGTTGTTATAATTATAATTATTTGGTTTACTTAATTGTTTTTGCAATTTTATCATTAAAAATAGACTACATATAACAATACTTGTACTAATAATAGTGTAGACATAGACAAATAGATAGATATAGATAAAAATAAATATATAAATCCCCCTATATCCTATATATTAATACAGAATGCGCTGAGCCTACGTGGCTGTTTCTGGTGCTTCGGAATCCTATGTGGCAAAATTACATGCTTCGTTATTAGGCTTGGGTAAATTTTAATTTAATCCCAAACCAAAAATAATTAGGTTCGAATTACCATAAATATGTTGATTATTTATGGTCATGTTACATGTATTAATTGTATTTTAATATCATTCCTTATTATAACTATTGAATTGTATATATATTTTAAAAGTTAATAACTTTTGTATCTTTTATCAGTTTTACATATGTAATATATCAAATTAATCTTCTTTTGATAAGCTTCGATTTAACATCCATATTGTATGTATAAAAAAAATAATTTTTATTTATCTTTATAACAATAATAAAATTATTTTTAATATTAATTAGAAAAATAAAATTATTTATCAACTAATATATTTATATTTCAAGTAGTTATATGATATAAGTTATAAAAACTAATATAATATAACACATATAAGTCATAAGTAACACATATCATTCTAAAATATATAGTAATATATTTTTTTTTGTAAAAAATTAAACTAAATTTAATATAATTTTCTCATTAATTTTAAAATTTAAGAATAATTTTTTAACAAGCACCCGTGTAATACACGGGTATCGTACTAGTAACTTAAGATTTTGAAGTAATAATGTAACTTACACGTAATGGGACCATAGCATTCCATAACTATTAAGGCTATGTTTGGTAAAACTAGTTGATAAGCTAGCTGATAGCTGATAAGCTAGCTTATAGCTTATATGTAATTTTTGAGCTTATAGCTTATAGCTTATGACTTATAGCTGAAAAGCTAACTTATATGATAAAAGATGTTTGGTAAATTAGCTGATAAGCTAACTAAAATAAAAAATTCAACTAGCTTATTTGAAAAGCTACCTAAAGTAGCTTATGAAATAAGCTCGAGCTTTTCAAAAAGCTCGTCCTACCAAACGAAGCTTATTTTAAACAGGGAGCTTATAAGCTAACCAAATAAGCTAAAAGCTAGCTTATTTGGCTTAGCAAACATACCCTAACTAGTAACAATAGCATTTTTGCAGGGAAGTAAAACACGCTTTTGTACCATAAAAGAAGAAATAAAAGTTGTAACTTGTATCAATACTTTAAAGAAGAAATATGGACACATACTTACTCAACTTTGTGGGGAAAAAAAATAATAAAATAACAAAGAGTTGAAACTATATGATTTTTTTTTATTTTTTTTTTGGTACAATAAAAGAGGCAAGAGCCTAGTCTAAGACTTGTCGTGGGTGAGATACACCCATATTATCGTTCTCTAGCCGAGTACTCAGTCCGTGGGGAGGATTTCAACACAGTAGAGCTTCACTTGTACAGGGTTGATGGTGCTTGTTGTAATGCAATTGCATTAGAGTTCCCCGTAGACTCCAATCTGTTACCTGAGCAATATGAACACTTAAAAATGTCAAGAAAAAAATCACTATCATCTTTTTGAGCACTCCATATCAAAATGTCTTGGCTTTTAAGAACAGTCGTTATTAAAGAGATGCATAATATTATTAAGCTAGAAGATTATGTCCACCTGCAACGAGTAAGTCTCGGATAGCATATAACCACACTCCTCGATATTAGCCTTTTCTCCACTGACCATCCTAGCTAAGTCGGAAATCGAGCTATCCATTTGTTCTGCCTGTGGTCAATCAAGAGGGAAACGTGTCAAATATGGATGTACGGTAAGAAGCGAGGAAAAGGGTTGACGATATATTTTTCTTTCCTCTTCAGCAGGACTAATTACTTCATAAAGGAAACAACAAAGGATTAGAAAAAAGGAAATTAATCTACATTAGTAAAAGTTCGATTTCCAGCAAACTCTTACTTCATGTATAAATCTCTGAATATGAGAACCGATTAACTCGGCAGCTTTGATGGCCGAGTTTAGAGCCTCTCCTATCTGTCCCAAGTCAACCTGAAACAAAAAGCCAGATTAAGCAATTTTTTTAAGGTGATTCAACTATATATTGTATATAGATGTAGCAAAAAATGGCTCACCCGCACATCTTCACTGACTGGAAGTCTGGATGAGGAATTGAGCATTGCAATTGTTGTGGCCGACAAAGAATCCGAGTAATCTTCTTCCAGAGAAGACCATTCCTCAAGATATGGCATCTAAACGACACCGAATTGTTTGAGTTGGTTTGCAAAGGAAGTTTTAGTAGTGCAAGTGAAATGAATTAAACAAGTTAGAGATGGAAAGTCATCAGACTCGTATTTTTATCCTCAAATGGTATATTGAGCTAGCTGTTCTTTTCTTAGTTCTTCTCCTCTTTTTTAATCATAATTATTCTTGATTTTAATCTTCATGTTCGATAAAAATATCAAAGAGCATATGAATCATCGGCTTCAAAATCACAAGAATATATAGCGGTGACAAAGTTATTTCATTTTATTTTGTTCAGAAAATAACACGAGGTTTTATTTTCTCGGTTTTGGAGATCCCGGTTTCAGTTGCAATCAAATTCTCTTATGTCACATATATGTTGACAAGATTACTCCATCTAAAACATATGAAAATAGTGCAAAGTAAAAGGTTTCTGTTACAAGAAAACATACACAAAACTCCACAAAGAAAAGATAGCAATCTTACTTGAGCCTCAACAATAGTTGTCATTGTTTTCATTCCTTGAATGAATGCTAATTCACTCCGTTTCCTTTTTACACTGTCGCGTATATCAGATATCTTGCTCGCAAGCGACCAAAGTTTTGTCTGAACAATGACGAATAGAAGCATAAAAAATGGAAGGTAAGAAACTAACCATATAGTATATCAGTATTCACTAAGGAAGCAGGCAATACAAATCTAAACACAGAGCTGAGCATACCAGAGGCCATAAAACTCGACAAATGAAAAAAACGAACCTCAGCTTCTTGTTTCTGTGCTCGTAGGCACGCTTCGGCCTTCGCATTCACAAACCGCCAGTGCAAATAACGGTTACTCAACATCTTCAGGCAATGCTCGTCTTCCATTCGATCAGCCAACTTCCTCCCTTTCCTCACATCCAATCCAATCCCGGGCCTTAAGCCCGGCAAGGGAGGGTGTGGTGGGCGGGAAACAGAAACCCCTCCGCCGATCCTCACAGAAGACGAAGAAAAATTCAACGAGCGCGCACAGTCGCTCCTAATTTTGCTACAATTTTCGACATAAAGCGAATTAACATCACTACAAAGCGGAGAATTCGGGCACGAGGAGCTTCCCTGATTCGAGGCATTACTGCCACATGATTCCAAATCGTCAGAGCTTGAAATCGAGGCATCTGACGTGGCCCGTTGCAGTAGCCTAGCTGCCGTGGTCACGGCCGAGCACCCGTTATTGTTGCTGCTGTTCAGTGAAATCGAGCGGCGGATGGTTGTGGGGGCTTGCCGGAATCTGGAAGGGACGACCCTCTCGGTGGCAGAGGCGGCTGGCGTGTCCGGCCTGGACGGGATTGGTAAAGATTGCTGCTTTCCTCGTTGCTGGTGCTGTTTCTTCTGTGCGGTTGGTACAATTGAACCGTCTGAGTTGCGATTGGGCTCGGGGATTAGGTTTTCGTCGGTTTTGGGCTGCTGGCGGCGGAGGGCTGATTTGGAGCGGCGGAGGTCGGAGGTGTCAGGGGAGGAGATCGGATTAGAGGGGATTAAAGGGGACATGAACCGGGAACTGACTTCTCGGACTCTCGGCCGGCGCTGAGGTGGTGGTGCCGCCGCCGTAGGTGCACCGCCGGGTTGATCGGTCATTTTCTTTCTCTCTCTGTTACTATTTTTGAGTATCGTTCCCCTGAATTCACAGACAAACAAGAGGCTTTTTAAGGGTTTAATTAATAATCCTAAGAACAAAAAAGGATTTGTGAAATTGTAAAAAAAGGCCAGCTGCAAAATGATTGGAAACTAGCCGTTGAAAAGACCAAAAATAAAAATATAAAAATGAAAAAAAAAAAAACTATGATTTTGTCGGATAACGGTTTTGTTGTGTCATGTGTGTGTGTGTCTCAAAGGATACTATTTCGGGCAATATTTGAAAATGTTCGGTAAACGGTAGCCATGTCCACGGGGCCCGTCGTCCCGGTCCTGGCCCAGTCCGCAATCGGCCGTAGATTACTAGTTCCAAGAACTGGCATCGTGGCTTTACGAGTTGTGTCCGGGTCCTTTTTTTTTTTTTTNNNNTTTTTGTCTCGCAATCCAAGACTGAGACAGGACAAGGCCGATTCGACAGACCCGACTCTTGATTTTTGACGGGCCGATTAAAGAGTCACTCATGAAAGGCCTGCCGGCCCGGCCGTTGACCGGCTATGTCTAGTAAACGGTAATCTAGACTGATCGCAAAGGGATTAAAACAAAAAATGCAAAAAGGCATGCATTACTCACTCGAGATTGAACGTGACTTGCTTTTGACCTTGTTTTGTTGGTCAGATTATTTACATGAATTTGAATTCCATATTCAAGTTCGTCAATTTTCTCCTAAAGTGTGATCATGTTGCATCATTGTATATGATATTTGGTACATCTCAAAGTATAATGGATATCAAACTAAACATATAATATACCAAAACAATTGTATTTGTCAGACTTAGTTTAAAACTATGAAGGATACATTGTCGATATACATTTTTATTGAATATACAACTGCATACATATATATTAATATGTAGCCCGTGCGATGTAGTAAGTCAACCTATTTAATTAGAAATCAAAATTACTATTTTAGAAAGGTCCGTAAATTTTTATTTCCATCTTTTTATAAATCATAAAGTAATTTTTACAATATTTCCTTAAATTGTTAATCAACTTATTTAATCAAAAAGTCAAATTTACTGTTTTATATTATTTCATCAACCTTTTTTAATATATAAAGATTGTGGCATTGTCCAAATAGAAAAAAAGTTTAATATGTAGAGTCCTATTTTACTATTTACAATAGTTGATTTGTCGTATATATATGATCAAAATATTAAACAACTCGAGTTTCATTAAAATCACCAACCGAATTTGTTATACGTAAAGGGCGACAAATAAAATTTTTTTTATCTATATTATTATAAAATGTGAACGATCAAATAAATAAATGCACGGTTAGAAAATCCATTAATTATTAATGGAGAAATTGTAATAATACATAAGTAATCCAATAAAATAAGATTAAAACAATACAAGTAAATTCAGATTCTTTTGATGTGCTCTGGTGCCGACTTGTGGTTGTGGTTCGTCGGTCTCCCTGTAGTAGAGGTGGTGTCGGGTGGTGGTGTGTTGTTTGGGCTGGGTGTGGCTTGGGCCACTTGTGGCGTTTGCGTTGGGGCGACTGGAACTGAGGAGCGGTGTCTCTCGCTCCATGTTCCTTGTTCCCTGGTTAGGGGTTGAGGGGTGGTCGGCGCTGGACATTGGCTATTGGTGCTAGTCGGGTTTGGTGTAGTGGTGTGGAGGGAGAGGGGAATTTGTTGTTCCTCCGGCTATGGGGCGGGATCATATACCTGAAGTGGTCCAGGGTTTTGAAATTCGGCTTCAGTTAGGCATTTTTTGACAGATTCGGGAGTAATTTTTCGTGCTGCGTTCCAGTCTGTTGGTGGTCGGCCGTGGGTCTGCTGGTGCTTAGTGGCTGAGTTTGGTTTGCCTGTTGTGTGAAGGACCTTAGTTTGTTTGTTTAGGTGTGTTTGTTAGTGTTTTGTGTATTAAGTGTTTTTATTTTTTTATTTTTTTTTTCTGAGTGGGAGCGGATATCATCCCGTGTGGAGCTTCTCGTGTTGTGGGTGCGTTGTCTAGTGTTACTAGCGTAGGTTCTATGTGATGTTCATATCTATCCTCCCATTTTATTTGGGTTTTATCTATATCATTCAACTCAAATGGAGTTTGTTTCTTTGTTTGTACATTTGTGCATTTTTTATAATCTCTATCATTTAAAAAATGAGATTATATTGAATTTTCAAAAAATAAAATAGTGCGTATGTAATAATGTTCAATAAATAAATTGATTCACATTTTGTTATATATTAAGTATCTTCAATCATGTTATTGTTTCAATAATATTTTTTTATTTTATATCATTGCACCTATGAAAAAAAAATAAAAAAAATTAAGTATTATGATTGACCTGGGAAGCATACCATAGATTTCAAGTTTTATATGTTATCGACCAAAATTAAGTAAAAACAAAAAATTACTCTCACTATAACAACGCAATAATACTAAAATATAGTAACTGAAAAATATCCAAACAACGTTAGTTAGTTAGCCGGAATTAAGATACATTAAATATATATTATCATAAAAATACATTTATACCATGTGTATTATTAAAGGTAAACTTACATATTATTACTTGGAATCTTTTATCTTAGTAAGTTAGAAATAGAAAAAAAAAAAAAAAAAGCTATTTTTATTAATAAAATATATATTTTTTTTACTTGGGAAAAATATTTAAAATAAAAAATTTACATTTGTATACAATGCATGATTATTTTTTTGCTTACATCATTCACACAACATATTGAAGATAAAAATAAGATAAAATATACAAACGACATTGATTAACATTGAATTAACAATTAAATCTAATTGCTAAAAACAACAGTCAAAATTAAAAAAGAAAGGAAGATATAAAAAAAATACATCAATAAAAATAACTACAACAATGTTCATTTTTTCAAACAATGATGAAGACAACATTAATTAAATAAATAAAATGCTGACTTCTTTAGCAATCAACAATTACTGAAAAATTGATTGATTTTATTTTTTGATTTAACGCAAAGTTATTTATTTACTTTTAACAATAGGTTTCGTTAATCCCATTAAAGATTATGTTTAAGTGCCAGTACATTTATATAACTTACTATTATTATACGTGTTTCCTTTCCTCTTTTAATAAACAAATGGAAAATTTTGAATTTGAAGCATAAATTCAATAAAAATACAATTTCTAAATTTATAAAAAAATGTTAATTATCACGTGTGCAACTTCCTAGTATAAAAGAAATATCATTAAGTTGGGCTCTCATATAGGTTCTCACTCCTATAAAAAAAATTTCATATGAAATTTGCTTCACGATGTACTACAAATATATGATATATTCATATGACCACTTCGATTTATAATTGTATTATAACATTTTTTCTCACCCAACACTTTTAATCTCTCAAATGAATTTCAAGTTTGAGTCTGGCAGTTCATCTGTCTTCCTCTTCAAATTATGATGGCAATGCATTGCTTATAAACACTATTCATAAAAAACAACAAATGATAATTATAATGGTAATGCATTGATTATAAACACTCTTCATAAAAAACAACAAACGATATGTCTTGTTATTGCTAATAACACCACAATCCTTCAACAACTTCTTGATAGCTCAATTCCTGTACATATCATTATCAGTTGTGATCGAGAAGCTGTTGATCATTGGTTGTGCAATGACTATTATACAATTAAGCCTATGTTTCGTAGAAGATGGCCTTAGCTGCATTATCGACATGTAAAAGTATGCAACGCATAGCTCTGAGCCAACATCGATGTTCTTTAGTCACCAAAAACAACCCATGTCTAAAGGATCAGTCACGACCAATGTAACATTTTTTGTCAGCATGTTGTACAAGAGCAGTCGAAGAAAATAAAAATGAATCAGACACACTTCGACTTCAAATGGATCACCAACGTATATCGAACAACATTTTGACAAAGCAAAAGTATGCAACGCCTAGCTCTGAGCCAACATCGATGTTCTTTAGTCACCAAAAACAACCCATGTCTAAAGGATCAGTCATGACCAATGTAACATTTTTTGTCAGCATGTTGTACAAGAGCAGTCGAAGAAAAGGAAAATGGATCAGACACACTTCGACTTCAAATGGATCACAAACGTATATCGAACAACACTTTGACAAAGCAAAACCCAATATCGAACTCGGGCAGAATAAATTGGAACACTTAAAAGAAATTATCGCCATGACAAGTCATAATCTCAGGTCCATACATCAATGTAAAATATTTCCTTCATCGGTATTAATGATGCAGTCCTACCCCTAAATCTCTAGCTCAGAAGATCCCTAATCTACGATTCTTTTGCAGTGTACTAGATACAGAAGTTTCCAAGGTGGTGTGTAAGCAGTTTTATAATCTCTAACTGAATATGACACAGCAGCCATATACCAGAATGAAGTGAATTCTATTTGCAGGATGAGTGAAAAAGTCTTGCCGAGTATTTAAGAGGTTTGGTTGTGTCAATGATAACCTTCTCTCCTGGAATCGCCAAAAAGGGCGTCTGTACAGCACACATAAAAGAGTATATCGTAAAAAATACGGTTTAATATACAAGTCGGGGATCTAGCTCACACTCTAACACAAGTGTACATGAATAAGGAAAATGAGATACACACAAAGTAACATTAACAGTTGTAGTAAGGTGTCACATAATCATTAGAAATAAATAATGGCAGCATAAGTGAAATGTTCGACATGAATTTTATGACATGCAAAATGCACAGAAAATAACCAGAATAAGGTCCCAACAGAAGGAACATTTCGCAATATATGCCTGTTAAGTAAAAAGAGTAATGCCCGCAAGAAAAAAAAAATAAAAAAAAATGAGGCAGCTTATGTCACAATGTGGTGAGATGGCATATTTGCACAAAAGTAAGACAATTGGCCATGCCATTCAACTTACCTTGCTCGTCGTCATCGCCATTTTGAGTTGTAAAAAACGGGGTGAGATAATTCTTGTCCAGTTCTGTAAAAGATGCAGTGCTGCAAGAAGAAATGGATTAACTGAAATTAATACAGTTGCAATATAAAGTAGAAAAATGGAAACATGGATGTCACTTTTCTCCACCTCTTGCGCAACTCCTTAAGCCTCATCTTAAAACGATTCCCTGATGATGATGATTCACCCTCATAAGTAGGAGCTCTGTAGCTATTGCTTGAGTCGAGGCTCTGAAAGTGGGTTGAAGAAGACTCATAATTAGAAACTTGTAATTTTTATTTATTCCAAGAGAATACAGAAAAAAGGAAGGAAAAAAAAAAAGAACGACCTTGCTCTGTCCCTAAAAACTTGAAGCCATAGCTTGCAATCAAACAGTAAAATGTCAAACAAGGAGTTTCAGAGTTATATAAGTTACATCTTTACAGGATGTACATATTTGGACGATTAAATTATAACGAGCAATCTTCCAGCCATCATGAGAAATACACACACATAGAGATAGAAATAGATCAAAAAGCAGGCGTCAGAAAGATCACAAGTCAAACAGCTTTTTTTTTGTCCCAAAAAATTGATAGAAATAAAACAGAACAGAACAAACAGAGAACAAATGTTACATTCTAGAAACACTACAGCAGTAAAATCTTTCAGATCCTCATTAGCAAACATATCTTGCATATGGTTCATCAAAATGCAGAGTACAGAGATTACACACTACAGGCAGTTAACGGCTTATAACGATGCCTAGAATATCTCTTATTGTTCAAATTTAAAGCAAGTCAAAATCACATGACCACTAACAAAAGTTACTTTCATAGTCAAGTGCACATTTGATTCTTAACCAGATTATAGGAAGTGACCAATTTTCACTCACTTCGCCCAATGGGCTATCAACTCCATCACCAACAACTTGTAAAGCTTCCAGCATGGTTCCAGTTGATCCTCCAATCAGCAAGACCTAAAACAATTTAAATCACCGTAAAAGCATTAAGTGTCTCAAAGATATTGCATGCCAAAACAAATTTTATGAAGTAAAACCTAATTGTACGTGCATATTAAATAATATGCAATTACATATCTGCAGAAAATATATGATAACTGAGAAAATATTTCCAATAATAGGGATGGGGAAGACAATAGACTGCACCAAAGATGCTCAATTGAAGTTGCATAAAACAATTTATCGCATTTGGCGCAATTTTAGGAAGAAGCAGTTCTTGCTGAATCACCGTAGTCAGTGTCTCCGTGACCAAACATTTAAATTACTGGGGAACTAAGGATAACAAATGGTGCAGCTATTTTTTTTGTTTTTTAATTAAAGTCATGTAATAATGATACAGATCTTAAATATGACAAATTTTGAACTTGAACTTGTCCTCCATCTTCCAACAGAGCCATGAGATCTAATTTTTACAAACTGGGTTGCTTACTGTCAAAACAACTATTGCAGTAGTGGCAGTGAAAATTGTCTGACCATGCCCTTCAGGAAGATCATGAACCGACTGCAAGGCAAGCGCAAAAGCCATAGCCCCTCGGAGCCCTGTGATTAGAGATGTCAACAAGTGTCGGTGTACGATATTGCTAAAAAAAATGAGGTCGGAAGATAAAAGAGATTATTGGATGAGATGTATGATGCAGAACTGCCATTTTACCTAGTTTCAATTAAAGCAAGTGAAGAAAAATTCTTATCTACTTACCACTGTACCAAAGTGCTTTCTGATGCTTCATCGGTATTTTCCTATGCGCAGGTCTAAACAAATTCACCAAATACGCGCACGAGAAAACATTTGCAGCTCTTCACAGAACAAGTAGAAAAATATTTAATATTTTGCGTAACAATTTCAATATTAAATCTCATATAACCACCAAAACAGCAGAGGTTACTGATATCCGGTATACAAAGTTTATTTAAATGAAATCGCGAGAAAAGATGCTGCATAAACCACAATACAATAGAAAAGGAAGATGATTAACATGGATTAGGACAGAGTATTCATACCTAGCAATGCCAATGAATAACTGAATTAATTTAAAGCAAGTCAAGGAAACATATCAGTTATTTTGTTAAATGAAACAATCAACTGATTAAATATTTCTGACAACTCGAGGATACAATTGAGAAGAAGATAAATCCAATATGAGACCAGCTGTGTTGTTCCATTGCAATGTCAAATCCCATGTAAATAAATCTGCAGAGTAGATAAAGGCTTCAAAATAATGTATTTGGAGCATTAACAAAATGAACAGAAAAGAGATAACTGCATGATTGCTCACACAAAAGTCTCCGCCAAGGATGAGATCAGATGGAAAAATGCAGATACAAACTTCTGAGAACTGTCTGACAAGTTTGAGAAAGAGTAGTGCTTCATAACCTAACACAAACAGCGAAAAATATTTTGGTGCTATATAAATTGAACAATTAGTACGAGATATCAACTATATTGGTTACACTTACTATTCCAGTGAATAAGATGGACACAATACCAGAGAGACCAACTCCTTCTGCTAGCATGTATCTAGGTAAAATTTAACACATCACAAGACAAACTAAGGGTTAACAAATCAAATAAAGAACTCCACAATCAGAGATAGCACCAAAAAACTCTTACGAGAAATATGGGAAGAGAACAAAGAGGCAGCACTCCAAGTTTTGAAGACTGTACAGCATATTGAGCAGAAAGATAATAAGTATTTCTCAATATTTAGTGCCGAATTGAGGTTTCTAGAAATTTGAAAACATACTTACTTGTCAATGTCCAGACCAGCATACTTAAAAAGGTTTGAAAGTCAAGGCTTCACAGAGCATGTCATGATCGTAAAAGGAAGGATAGGCAAGAACTGTAAACCTCTAAAAGGGAACGAGAAAAGGAAATAAAGTAAAAAGGATGAAAGGATATCAATGCAGAAGTGAATCCAACTCCAACGCCTGCATATTTCCAAATAAATTATATTATTTACTTGGACATATGTGGCCATGTGCTCTCTGCCTAAGTAAATATATTATTTTTTTTTTTTAAAGTAAGAAATTGAAAAACAAAGATGACAAGGAAGAGGGGCAAATATAAGTTGCTCAACTGAATGAAGTTAGTGGGTTATCATGAATGTAAAAGTTCAAGCACATAACAAGGTGTCTTCTCTATTCAGAAAAATCAAACAGAAATGGTAACAAATAGGTTAAGTTCTTCTGGGAACAACACAACAATCACAAATGGAGAGCAGTCTAGCATGATTCCAATTAGTCACCCGGTATAATTTAAAGCTTAACGACAGAAAGTTATTCATGTGCCAGTATTAAGAATGAAAGAGAATTTTGGAATTTAATAAGGTAAAGAATTGTAGCTTCCAAGGTTAATCTACAAGTTCAGAGCAAATTAACATAACAAGCAGTAATCTAGAGTTCTAACATAAAGGCCGGCTTCAACAGAAGTTGTGAAAATAAATCTTCAAATTTTGGCTCAGAATTAAGAAGGTAAAAAAGAAGGAAAACGAAAAGGACATAAGCATCGTTCTTCTAAAAGGAATTGGGGGGCAGTTGATACAATACGCTCCTTATGTTCATATTTCAACTAGTATATATACCCCAGAAACCCTACCACCCAAATCCTTGGGAAACAGTAAGTGACCAATGAAAGAAAGAGCAGAGTAGGAGTAAATGAACAAAAGATAAGAAAATGAACACTACATAAGACATATTGAAAATTACAGAAAAATCTCATTTATAATAAAGTAGATAAACCATAATATCTACTTTAGCCATAACATAGAAATATTAAACATGGATAATAACTATATGATCCTTGCAACAAACCTGCTGACATTGAGCCAACAAAAGTCTCGAGAAATCTGACCACGACCATGAAGAAGTTTTGACCTGATGACATATGACTCCTCACCATCGACATTGTCCTATAAAAGCATAAATCAAGCCGTTAGCAAATAAGTTCCCAAATTTTTCACTCACTAGAATGGGTAGCACTGATTTAACTAACCTGTACAATGAAATTGCCATCTTCAAGCGCCAAATCCAGCAATAAACAAAAAGAAAATGATTATAGCTTTTCAAATTCTCCATCTTAAAAGAAACGGTTAGACCAGAGAAACTTACTGCATCATTCAGCACAGACTCGCCAAAGACCAAAGCATACAGATTCACGTCTGTACCAAGCTCCTATAAATGTTATATCAGTTACTAATGATGTAACACTGATTTGCAATAACTGGAAATTAAGACACATCTTTGTCTTTTCTAATAATTTTTAGGTGAGAAGTATGGTAAGCCAAAGATGATCAATTGATTACAATTAGTCAATGTAATCTTGCTAGTAAGCAATTTGCCCTTAGGGCATATCTGATGCACATTATTCAATACTATGAGTTGTATGAGAGTTAAACTAGCAAAAGCGAACATGGAAAAACAGAAAATATCATAAAGTATGTCTGAAACTCCAAATCACCTGAAATATTGAGAGAACAGTGACAGGATCAGTAGCTGAGATAAGAGCCCCAAACATCAGACACTCAACAAAAGGAAGCTTGTAGATAAGGTATGTCACTCCACCAAGGTATCTATTTAAGAAACAAAGAATCACAAAGAAAAGTATCTATATTAAGAAACTCAAAATCATAAAGGGGGAATTCTCTTGATGAATAAACCCAGTAGGAATATCTGAAACTAATAAAAGAAATATACTCACACCAAAATTCCGGTGACAATAGAAGCAGCAAATGTACCAAAAATTGCAAATGTGACTATGGCACCAAAGTTAGAAAAAAATGGCTTCTGAAAAATCAAAATTAAAGAGGTTATAATCATATAATGCAGTAATAAGACCAAAAGGAAAACTGGAAAACAAACTTATTCAACCATTGCAAGGATTCATAATTAATTTGGATCTTCTGTCAAAATGATGGATCAGTATAAGAAGACAGAAAAGGTTACTATTTCTTAGCTTAAGCTTTATCTTAAGGGTTCAAAGGAGCTACCCACATTCTTTGAGTTTACTCAGAAAACTAGACAACAAAACCAATTAAGGGTTTATGTTCTCGCTTTCCCCATTATATCAACTTAATAGGACCCATCAGGCCAAGTGAAGCTCTAATCGTACAAGATAATACAACGAAAATTAGATTCTTAGAACAGAGTACACAAAACAAGGATTGTACCAATTGAGCAAATCTTAGCCTAAGCTACGACTACGAATTGTAACTTCATAAAGTCTAGCAGATGGCAACGCAATTGCTTCATCTATAAGAGAAAACTTTACCAAGCAAGCAAATATTGAGAAAATAAGCAAGATGTCTAAATGTCCTGCAGCCCTCATCTAGCGATTTATGTTGGATGTGCAGGGTATCTGGCTATGATATAATAAAACTCAGGGTAAATAATCCTTCTGGTAGTTTCTTTTACAGCTCAAACTTTAAGTTTAACATTTTAAACAGAAACTTATAAAGAAAACTTACAGGTTGCAAACTGAACCCCGACTGAGTAAGAGCGAAATCAAGTTAAGGAAGCAACTTTCTCGCGGAACATCAGATGAGCAGGAAAATTAAGAAACTAATTCAACTCAATTTTTATAGGA